CAAATGCAGTGGGGGGACAAAAAATGTTCAAAACAAAAGTAACAGAGGAAGAAAGATCAGAAGAGGAAGTGCCTAAATATGATTTAATGACTGTTACTGTTGAAAGACTGTGTGAGAATGCTTTCTCTTTTCTCATTATCCCAAACTGACTATCACATGCAAATAGGACTTTAATAGCAAAACGTAAATCCAATCCCTCCCCAGTTTTTCTGTCACTTTTCTACGTTTAGCGAGTCAAGTAATTTATGAGCATTACCAGCCCTTCCATCCTCACCTGAACTAGTGCCCTCTGAGTTCCCAGCAAGTCAGGAAAGCTCTATGGTAATCTTACAGTCCCAGACAGAATCATCCAAATAACTTTCCACCTAACTTACATCCAAAGAATATCACGCCAGGGAATGGGAATGCCCGTGGTGCTATTCAAAACTGTACAGGGCGATACATATCATCTTCACTCTAGATTTTTTTTTTAACCTATCCTTTCAGTCTTAATTTCCATCACTTGAATTTATATCATAATATATTCAGAACTCCTATAACAATACAATTAGGGCAGATCTGAGAAGTTTTTTTGAGTGCTCACCTAGACAATCTATTAATCGGTAAATATGGACACAATGTCAACAAGTTTTTTAAAAAATCCGGGATCAGATAAGTATTATTTAAAATAGAGCCTTTTTCTAGAGCAGGTGTAAAGTTTGATGTGAGGAAGCACAGGGAGAGGAAGATGTTGAAGAATTTTTCATGAACATATGCCTGATCTTCCTTAGGGTGCAAAATCTCAGAGAAATCCCTTTATGAGTGATGGACACCAGAACCTTGCTTTAGGTCACTCTGCCTGCCACTAGATTCTGCTTACTGCTTCTGCTCTAAGGAGGAAAGGTGCTTCCACACATTTTTAAAGTACTATACATAATGGTCAAAGAAAGCTAAAACTAATAGTAAACCTAACTAACATGTACTAAATACCCATTCCGTTCCAAGAAGTTTGCTGTGTATCTCACATACGCCACCTCATTTACTACTCAGCCTGATGCCATGAGATAAGTACTATTATTATCATTAGAAGAAACTAGGGCTTGCAGGGGAGGGCAGGATTATGTCAGTTCTCCAAGAGCTAGTATGTGGCTCAGCCTCTCAGGCAGACTGACCCCAGAGCTCTGAGCCTAAGCAACCAGGCTGTAAAAGGGAAAAAAAAGAGGATCTAATCAGAAACACCAAGGATACTTTGGAGATTATATCAGAGCACACTGTATAACTCCCCGCAATTAGGCTTCCAAGAAGCAGAAAAACTGAATGAAAAAAATAAGTTTTAAAAAGTTGTCCCCAAATCACCAACAGTAAGTCATACAGATATAGCTATGTAAACATACACAAATATATATATATGACTCCTTATGCATTGATACTATGCATTGAGGACACAGCACCACTTTTGTAGTATTCCTGCCAAAAATGTATAAACTCCATCTTATCATGTGAAAACACCAGATAAATCCAAATTGAGAGACATTCTACAAAATAACAGACTCATCAAAAGTGTTATGTCATGGAGTAGGGGAAAGTATAGCTCATTGGTAGAGTGCATG